GACCTCCCCGCCTTGCTGCAATCCTTTGCCTATAGAGGCTCCCATACACCCACCTCACCCTTCAGAGATTGGAAAAAAACCCAGACTGAACTCCCTCCAGCACCGTACCTATACTCCTGGCAGCCCTGGGTGAACTTCTACTATCAGGCCTCCCTTCACCAGAGATGAGGATAGTGATAGTACCAGTACCATTTGGGGGCCCCCTTTTCTGTCTGGGCATGCCTATGTCCGCCCCTGAATCCCTCCACTCCCCTTGCCCCCTTCCAGTCTGAAAACAGGGACAGGCTGGGAGCTCAGACAGGTACAAGAGATCCTACATTTTGAAAGTCTTTACCTGATACCTCATGCAATGAGAGATCAGATTTTCATAGGATCAGCCATTTTTTTAAGCTGTCTGCAGCTCCGTGCATGTTTGGTCACAGCTAAACTGCTTTCTGTGGCTAGATCAGGTGAAAATGGTCACTTCTGTCTGCACCTAGTATTCAGGTAGTTTACTTGAACAGTAGCTGCCTTTCGCAGGTGAGGGAGTGTGAAGCAATGCGAAAAAAGGCCTGGACCAAGCACTGTAGCTTCGAGATCTACTAAGCCAAGTACAGCATGGCCACTTTCCCAAATAAAAGCAGTCCAACTAGGACGAACAGAGAAATCTGGGTTGAACTAAACATCCGAAATGTTTCGGTGAATGAGTAAGTCTTGTGCAGTACTTTAGAAAGGCGATTAAGCAAAACACACAGCATACCAAGCATGATACCCATTTCTCTTTTATTATCAATAGTAATACAAATCAGTTGTATTAGCACGGTGATGAGCACATAATGCTTCTAACACAATTATTGGCCATTTAAAAGAAAAAAAAAAAAAAAAAAAAAGAGGAATTTGTGCAACATTTGAGAGATGAAAACTTTGAGACAAAGTAAAGGAGACTTTACATGGTACAGCACAACAGTTTGAAGAGGAATTTTTCCCCCCTTTAAATCCTGTACCTTGTGTATCACTCCCAATACAGTTCCTTGGGTTAAAGAGATGAAATCTTTTCACAAGAGGAAAAACTCCTGCCATTCCAGCAAGGCCAGCATATTAGAAATTGCCATTTGCCTGAATCCAGTAGGAACACGTATAGCAATTGCTACAATTAAAAACCTTCCTCTCCAGCTTTGAGCCAACTAAATTGCCATTCAGGAAATCAAAGACTTGGGTATTTTTTTGCAGTTATATTTGTTTCCAAGGTTTAATTCATTTGGTCCTCCCCACAAATTAAAATGCTTTCGGCCTGATGTTGTATACAGAGATTTGGCATGGCAAGGAATAACTCCCCCACCCCCTTTATTGGTAATATGCCAAACTCATCTTTATAGCTTTGATAGACAGGTACATTAAGCGAATTCACTCCTCAAATGCATAAACAGGTTGTTTTAGTCTAATGAAATTTTCAAGTTGGCCGCCTCATGGTATTGAAGCTTAATAGGCATTCAAGACATGCATGTGTTTCATGCCCTAGAAAAAACAGTGCTAAATTAATTTATCCAGCACTTGTGCAGATGGTGGACTAACTGGCTGTTAACTCGTGTCAAAGCACATATGGCACAGGTGACAGAGGTGGCTTCTCTCCACGTTCAACTCTACTTCTGCCAGTAATCCAGGTGGCAGATACCTTCTAAAAAGGAGAAAATGGTTGAGGAATTTAACAAACATGAAGACTATTATTGAAGTAAATTAGCCAGAAGTTCTGGTCCTAGAGATAATATAGTCCAGAATGGAGACCCAGTCAGAATATGCACTCACCTCCTGAACTGGATGACCAGCAGACAGAAGGAGTCCCGTATCCCCATGCCCCTGCCATCAAGCCCTACTTTGCTGTATTGTAGGTGCGGGCAATTATTTTGGGTGGAGGGCCACTTACCAAGTTTTGGCAAGCTGTTGAGGACCGCATTTCCCTCTCTGGCACAGGGAAACAGGAACATCCCCATGGTCCCAGGCCAGAAGCCTATGCTAGGCTGGGGTTTCTGGTTGGGGGGCAAGGGCTGGGCAGGCCTTGCTGCTGCGTCCTGCCATCAGTTTCCTCTGGGCCCTACCGCCCCTGGCTCCTGTCATCCTTGACAGGCAGCTAGGAACAAATAAATATTAATTTTCTAAATTTTTAGGGGCCCCACAGGCCGGATAGAATGGCCTGGCGGGCCAGATCTGGCCCCCGGGCCGTATTTTGCCCACCTCTGCTGTATTGGGATTCTTGACATTCACATCTCAGGTTTGAAGTCTTGAAGGTGTAAAGTGCGACTATTTCACAAACATGCCTGCCTTCCCAAAGCCAAGGTAATGAAACAGCAAGTTTAAAATGTAAATGCTAGTTCAATCTTTTCTTTGTCCTACAAATTCTAAGCTTATAAGATTTTGGCCTCCAGAACCTGCCGGTGTACATGCAATAACCCTCCAATTACCTTAATCCATAATGCGCAGGAAGATGTACTTGCTCGCTGATTTCAGCCACATCCTCTTTGTTTTTCACATTTAAGATGCTCGTAGGTTACACGCATCATCTTAATTTAGATGATGTGAAGGGAATTTCACAGAAGCAGCCACATTTTTCCTCCACCCTTTAAAGCTGCAGTCCCAACCACCTCTCAAATGTTCTTCTGAGGAACTTCCAGTCAGAGTCACTTGAGGCCACTCAACTCTGCTGCCTTTTCTGGTAGGATGATGAAGGGGTGATATATTTCTCCTTCATGAAAGGCAGACTATTGTACCTGTGCACAACTAAACGCATATATGTTGCAGGAGCATGATCCAGTGAAGACAGACCCTAGCATGCCCTGTCCACCTGGCATGCCCCAGAACTTTAAAAGGTCCCTGGAGAGGACACTCAAGCCCTTTGCCTCCAGCAAGCTAGAGTGGCCCGTAAATATGAATCCACAGCAACCTCACCAGCTTACTTCTTGGTTTGGCATCTGTTCTCTGGGCATGGACCATCATGGTCTAGAACAGTGGTTCTCAACCATTCTTGTACCAGGACCCATTTGTAAACATTGATAGCCAGTCCCAGTCCAATATGTGGGGCAGGAGGTGGGTGTATAGGGCATGGGGGCCCCCTCAAGCAGCCCCTTGCAGGCTGTCAGTTCAGCCTACAAGGACAAAGCCACAGTTTCCCATGTTTTTCTCCTTTCAAGGAAAATCCATTTTTAAACTTTGTTGATCCATTTTTAAAAGTTTTGTTTGCAACCCTTTCATATATTCTTGCCACCCACTTTTGGGTCACAAGCTATAGGCTGAGAAATGCTGGTCTGGAACAGCCCTTCCAAGCCAGGGTGGTGTTCAGGCGTGTATGCACACACACTTTGTCGAGGTAGCTCTTTGTAATATTAGAGCTGTTTGAACCAAGGCCGCTTGAAGAAAATAAGTTCTTCCACATTCAGGGCAAATGGAGAAGAGCTGCAACATCAATATTTTGGCGTAATTGAGTGGCAGAGCTCATAACATGTTCTGATGATGCCTTCTACAAAGTCCATCATTCAAGACAGAACAGCTAAGCTCCTTCTTCAGAAGGAAGCAAGACTCCAAAAAGGAAAAATTGCTTATCATCAGGACTGGAGGATAACAGACTTCATATTAAAAAGTGCTATTTTTCCCTATTCAGGCTGCTGTGGAGGCTACAGACACAGTAACACGTGGCTTAACACCACCACATCTGTTGTGTTTAACAAGTAGTCCTTCCTATCTAATACTACAAACTTTTAGATGAACGGGATCTGGGATATTGGTCTAACATCTACAGCTGTCTACAAATGGTAGAGATGAGCTGTCTATTTGTTAATGAAATATTTATCTCAGTTAGATAAATTTCATACGTTCCTGCCCCCCACCCTGCAAAGGTCCAGTCACAGGGGCAGATCCAGAAGGGGCACAATGGCACAGACATCTCCCCTTTAAAGGTGATGCCTTGGGATCAGCA